TAAAGCAGTGACCAAGATTGTCAAAATTATTCATGTGGAGCTTACATTCCAGTGTCGGGAGACAAACAAATATATATATATATATACACACACATATATGAATATAAAATATTAAATAATGGGGCTGTGAGAAAAGCAAAGTAGGGCAAGAAGACAGGAGTGCTGGAGTTCTAGACAGGGTGGTCAGGAAGGGCCTGACATCTGAGCAAAGAGTGAAAGGAAGCAAGGGAGTGAGCCACACAGATGCCTGAAGACAGGCAGCGACGCGAAGACCCCCAGACAGAAGCACGGCTGTCATGTTCCGGGGGCAGAGAGCTCAGCAGGGCTGAGGCGGTGTTAACAGAGGGAAAATGTAGCGGATGTAGTCAGAGAGGCAGTGGGAAGCCGGGGCAGGGTTTTGAGCAGAGGAGGGACATGACCTGATATATTTTTAAAGATTTCTCGGAGAACAGAATAGAGGGGGAATTAAGGGTGCTACACGGAGGCCGGACAGGGAGCTGCTCCAGTCATCCGGGTCAGGGCTGATGCTCACTTGGACCAGGGCCATAGCCACAGAAGTGGTGAGAGATCATTCAATTCTAGACACACTATAATGGTAGAGCCAATGTGATTTGCTGACATATGGAACAAGCTGTGAGAGAAGGAGGACTCAAGGATGACGTCAAATTGTTCGGGCTTAAGCAACTAAAAGAAGAGTTATCTTTGAGAAGACAAAGATGGCCATGAAGTAGCTTAGGGAAGATCAGTAGTTCTATTGATGAAAAAAATTAAACCGGGGATGTCTATTAAGTGTCCTCATGGTGACGTTAAGTGGATAAATGGAGAAAGAGCCAAGTTCAGGGAAGGGGTCCAGACTAGAGAGTGACTAGAGATTTGAGGTCATCTCATATAAATGGTATTTAAAGTCATGAGACTGGATGACATTATTAAGAGGAAGTGAAGATCGAATGGATCAGCAGTATGGGTATCACCAGGGAACTGGTTAGAAATGCAGAACCACAGGCCCTACCCTACACCTACTGAATCAAAATCTGCATCTTAAAAAGATCACCAGGTGATCTGTGTGCATCTTACAGTTTGCGAAGCACTGCCTTGGAGCAATCCATCCGTCCAGGTGAGAGACAATGTAATAACCAGAGGGGCGGTTCAAGGGTTTACAATGGATCAGGTGACTGAACGGAGGCGGGGAGGAGGATGAGGGAGGACATTTCTGACTCGTGACTGGGTAGATGCTGTGCTACTCGCCAACAAAGAGTGTATGGAGGAGGCACAAGCTGGGAGGTATGGAGGGAAGGCATAACGGGACAGACTACTGTTTTACAGGTGTTGCGCTGGAGGTGCGCACAGGACATCCAAGCAGAGACAGCTAGGAGGCCACGGAGCTGGAGACAAGAACCTGGCAGTAAAACCCAGAGATACTGAAGACTGTCTTCAATGGGGTGTCATGGTTAAGAGAACATTGTTTGATTTATTTTATTCTGAAGACTAGAATGGTTGGTAGGGCGACGGGAAAGCACCACTAGAAAGCAACAGAAGGTGCAAGAAAGTGAAGATAGAGGAAGGTCCTTAAGGATGCCACAGAGAAGGATTTGGGGAACAAATTCAGAGGATAACATAACAATAATGGGGAAAATAAAATATATATCCACACAAGGAATTGCATGACCTGGCCTGATACATAATAGCCAAAAATTGGAAACAACTCAAATGTTAATCAAGAGATGAATGAATGACTGAACGAATAAGCAAAGTTGGTATATCCATATGTGGAATACTATACAGCTATAAAAATGAACAAACTACTGATATAAATAACATGGAAAAATCTGGGGTTTGGTTTTTTTTTTTTTAGTGAAAAGAGCAAGATACAAAAAAGTACACATTGTATGATTCCAGTTGTATGTAATTCTACAACAGAAAATTTAAACTATAGTGACAGAGGGCAGGTCAGTGGTTGCCTAAAGCTGGGAAATTGACAGCAGGCGGGGCAGAAGGCTTCAGGGTTTCTGCCTGTAGAATCCTTGTCTCTCAGGTGCGTCTCACTGAATGGCAATACAGTCGCTCATTCTGTCTGGGTGGGCCTTTTCCTTACATATACATATACATATATATAGAACTATGCTTACCCAACTATGATGATGATGATGGTAGTAACATTCACTGAATCCTCCCTGAGTGCCAAGCAGTATGCTAAACATTCATGTAATCCTTAGAAGGCTCCCATGAAGTAGGTACTGTCAATGTAAAAAACACCCAAACTTGTAGAGAATATTTATGAGTTTATTTGAGCCAAACTGAGGACTGTTGCCAAGAAGCAAAATCTCAATGGATTGAAAAAAAGCTCTGGAGAATGGCCGTTTCACGGCTTATTTTATACATTAGAATCCAAGCAGTAGACACAAGGGGGAGTGGTTACCGGAAAGTCATTGGAAGTAGATCAAGAAGCTGGGAAAAAGCAAAGCAGGGATATTTCCGAGATGGATAAAGAATAAAACAGAGAGACACATACTTCTTTTATATTAGTGAGTATGAGACAGCTAACAATGAACAAATGTTATTTTTCACAAAGATGGTATTTGGGGAACAAGAAAACAATGAGGGATCCTGTGGTCTTGGGTCTGGAGAAGGAGGTTACTCTGACATTTCAAAGGTATGTTATCTTAGCTGCAAAAAAGACAATTGACAGACCCACTTAAGGTAAAGACAGACGAACCTCTGTCAAGGAAGCCACAGGCCTAGGATGTGACGGCCCACCATGACCTGCTTTTAGTCAGGAATTTTATGTTCACACCATCCTGTGTTACTTTCAGCCTCAGAGTTTGTAGGGCCTGGTATGCTGGCCTCCCCTGAGCTTGTCATGTTTAGTATGTGGCCCCTTTTCTCGGTTCCTGTACTATTATTATCCCTTTTAACAGAGGCCAAAGGAAATCGAAGTTGAAAAGAGTAAACTTGCTCAAGATCTCAGTTCTTTAACAACCTTGACTCTAATCACAGGTTCACGCTCTTAACCATTATGCAAAGTCACAATGCTACAAACTCGAGGTCCATGGCTTCAGAGAGCCTTTGGCTCAGAGTACATCTTGTTAGTCACTCAAATGTCATCTGTGCCAGCACTTCCTCTACCTCGTTGGAGTAACTTGCACTCTCTAGGCTCCCGTCCCAGGTCCAAGCTGCAGTGTTATAAACACCTCCAGCTGCCAAGCAGCATTTACAGACTCATTTCATTGCGCCTCACTTTACTGTGCTTCACAGGTGTTACGTGGGTTTTTTTTTTTCTTAAACAAATTGAAGGCAAGCCCATCCCCCAGGAAAAAGATTATGACTCACTTCATCACGGTGATCTGGAACCAAACTGCAATATCTCTGAGCTACATCTGTATCTAGTTTCGCAGTTATGACTCCCAGTTCTGAAGTTATTTACCCCAATGCTCTCTCCCATGACTACCTACTTAATACATCATTCCTCTTTTTTCAATTTCTTCTCCGCCACTCCCAGAGCTTGGATTCTATTTGTTTGAGAACTGGAATCCAAACTAATTTCCCTTACTTATACAGTAGGAATACTTTTTCATTCTCCATGAACTCTGAACAAGAACCCAAAGGTAGAAGAACACTCCCAGCACAGAACTGCTGGAGCAGATTAAGTCACTGAGAAAGAAGAGCAGACAAATGCCACACACGTAAGCAGAGTTTCCCACCGTTTCACGGCTGCACATTCCAAAACCAACACCAATACCTGATTAGAACGTCATATTATCACCATCAAAACTAGGGTAAGGACACAGTGAGTAAATGTTTATTGAATGAGTTCTTCAAATAATAAAAGAAGAACATGGGTTTTTCCAGTGCTGATTTGTTTGGCACTGACCCAATTTGCCACTGAAAGTCCCATATCACTCAAAACATTGACACATCCACACATATTCACCAGAAATTAGAGGTAATTACAGTAACATAACCATCACTTACTTTTACAAAGGATATCCTGTGAATTTGAAATGTTTTTGCAAGGTTGGCTATTGAACTATTCCAACCCGTGTATCAACAGTCTTTTTTTTCCCCTAAATCCACATTTTTTTTTTCCAATTACACTTGACATTCAGTATTCTATTAGTTTCAGGTGTACAACATAGTGCTTAGACATTGAAATAACTTATGAAATGATCCCCTCAATAAGTCTGTTACGTATCCGACTGGCACCATACAGTTACTACAATACTATGGACCACATTCCCTGCATTGGAGTTTGCACCCCCATCAACAGTCTTTTCTAAGTTGGGCTAGAGCAGTGGTTACACATCCAAATTGTACCTCTGAGAAACAATTTACGGTAATAAGGGATTCTACTATCGGACAGAACGGACAGGAATGATTCATTCTGGTAGAGTTCTAAGGTAATTTCAGCTGGAAGTTTGTTCTGGGAGCCCGAAAAAGAATTAGCTTTAAAGACAACACCTCAAACAATTTTGCAGGAAATCCTACTGATTCTTCAAGGAGATGGGTTGGGAACACCAGAAAAACGGTTTCCAACTAATTTCTGAGTAATTTTTACAGTGCTGCCCAACGCTAGTAGTTTCCTTCTCAACGGGCGGGAGTGTCAGGCCCGCTTCCGGGAAGGTAGAACGTTACAGGTTTGGAGAAGATTTCGGAGAAAAGAGAAAAAGAGAAAAGAAAAGAGAAGATGGAGGACTTCCCGCTCCACCTTCCGCTACCAAGAAGCCTCTTCTAGAGGAACTTTATTATTTCCAGGGTGAATTCACCCGTTCTGAAGGCCAGAGGCAAATTTACGGAGGTTTTTGGTTCCACATGGAGATACAAATAATCAAAGGGCAAGCAAGACTCCTGGTCCCAAACTTGACTATGACCTTGCCTCCGCAACCGTTGTACCTGACCCTCCAAGACACCCTCTTTCTTGGAGTCCCCTGCGGTTGCGACAAAAGCGGGTTCTGGGCTGACTTTCCGAGACAACGGTCCCTCAGGGGCTCAGGTTTGGGGCTTACCACGTCCTCAAGGCAAATCGGCCCGACTCATCTGGGACAAGTTTCTCAGCCCGGACGCCAGCGAGCGGAACACCCACGGCCACACCCCCAATTGGTTCCAGAAGGCCGGAAGTGCGTACGCCCAGCGGAAGTGCTCCTTCAGCGCGCTTCTGCCAGCCCCGGACCGCCAGGTAGGCGGGGCCCCTGCCTCGGTATTCCGGGGATTGTGGGCTGGGGCTGAGAGGGAGCCCCGAATCTTGAGGAGGTTGTTCGGGTTCGGGTTGGAAAGGGCTGGAAAAGTTTCGGGGGCGGCGGGTTCACGGCGACCTCTCGTGGCAACCGGGGCCTAGTCGAGCCCGGCCGCCGCGGACCCAGGTGCGGGAGCTTCAAGTTCCCCCGTGAAGGTAGGATTCGGGACCGCGGCTGGGAGCTGCTCCCTGACAGCGACCGGATGGCTGCCGTCCAACCGCTGCTCTCTTCCAGCCAGGAAACGGGGGAAGGTGTGCTCTCCGCCCTTACCTTTCCTGTGTTTTGCTGGATTTGACAGCTTCCCCGCCCCCCCCCCCCCCCCCCGGCGTGTCCGGGTGCGGGGATTTCCTCGCCCTCACCGGGAGAAAATCTCAGAAAGACCGCCCTTTCCACCTCGCTTCCCGCCCTCCTGCTCAGCCTTCCTAGAAAGAGAGGGGTGTGTTTCAGCTGCGGGCTGTTCGAGTGGAAGTTACACAGACAGCTTTAGGCCGAGCTTATGCACAGTTAAGAAAAAGTCCTTGAGAGTTGTTTTCCTTTTCCCATCCAGCTCCGCACCAAGGTGGTTTGAACTTTGGGTCCCTTGTAGTCCTGATGAACAGTTTTGCTTTTCTCAAGCGCATGGCACTGAAACTTGAAGAATTAGACGTTTATGCAATTTGAGACCTGTCATCACTGTGCAGAGTTCAGAGCAATAAGCGACAGGTGAGCCTGAATGAATAGTTTCCACTCCAGATTAGTTTTTGAAAACCATTCCTGCAATTTCGATAGAAAGATGCACCGCCTGTGTTGAATACTAGGTGGTGCCAGCGAGTTCTTTCTGGGATAAATCTCAATGTAGTGCCAGGTTAAGGTTCTTAAAGTACCTCCATGCTCCATGAAATTTATTTAGAATAGCTTTACTTCCTTAAAATATCTTGTGCCTTAATGTGCTTCATCTGGTATCGAATACGGAGGCTAAGCGGAATCAAACTCACCTTCTGCTTCCAGAGCGTTTACACTCAGGAGCGGGGGAAACGTACTACAATGAACCCACATAATTCAAGGGAGAAATAAGTGATAAGTAGAGAATAAGATGTGGAACACAGCAGAAGAAGCTCTCTCTTCTTATTATTAATTTATCAATTATTTATCCAGTACGTTCTATCCGCCCAGCGTTGTGCTAAATGCTGGTGTATAAAGAGAAAGCAAAATCCTTGCTCTCAAATAACTCATTGGGGATGGGGCAGGGAAGACTATGGAGAAGGTGAAACTTGAGCTAGACCCTGAAGAGCGAAGGAGCTAGGCTTGGTAGGAAGAAAAGAATGAAGATCACAAGAGAAGGATGAAAGTTCATGGCATGTTCTGAAATAAGTAGTCCAGTGGGGTTAGACCACAGGAAATTAGTCATGAAAAAGACACTTTCAGTTTTACCTTGGGTTTGCCTTGAATTTTACTGGAAAATTCAACAGATTTAAAATGAAATTTAAATTTGTATTTCTGGGAGAAATTTTACACGAGGAGTAGCTATAATAGATTAACACTGGCTAACCTATTATACATGAAATATAGCTACAATAAATTATGCTTCTGGCTATACACATTCATATTGTATTTATATGTTGTTAATGATTGTAGATGATTTAAACCCAGCCCACAACCCAGGCATGTGCCCTGACCGGAAATCAAACCAGCGACCTTTCACTTTGTGGATGACGCCCCACCAACTGAGCAACACTGGTCAGGGCAATTTTAAAGGTTTTGATGAATGGTTATATCTAATACTAAGCAAAATGTGTTTTCCTGAAAGGAATGTAAGTTTAACTTTTGTAAATAGAAAAATTTAAATGCTATAGATGTTAAGGTAAATACATATAATATCAACACCAAAATCAGTAGCTTTTCTCTGTACCAGCAGTAATCAGAAATTGTAATAATGAAAAGCCTATTCCCAATATTAACCTAAAATACAAAATCTAAGAATAGCCAGTGGCCAAGGACTTTGTGGGAAAAAAAAAATTCTTTTTAAAAATCATAAAAGAAAGCCTAGATAAATGGAGAGATATTGCTTGATAGGAAGATTCTAATTTCAAGGATACAGGTTTTCTCTTTTTAGTCTTTAATTTTAATGTAATCCCTGTCAAAATTTCAGTTGAATTTTTAAGGAAACTTGACAAACTGATTCTTAAATTGGGCTAGAAGAGGAAATGCGCACAAATAGTCAAGAATTATTGGAGGTAAAACCCACAGTAATAAAAGTAATTTCTTAACAGTTATCAATATACAGCAGCTCTAAAGCTGTAATAATTAAAATAGCAAGGTGATGCATTAGAGTCAGGCTATTATCTGTGAAACAGACTTGAGTCTTACTATTGAGCACACTAAAGGTGGCAAAAGTGAATACTGATGATAAACAGCGTTGGGGCAGTTTACTATCCATTTAAAAAGAAAAAAAAAAAAGACCCTTCACAGCATTAACAAAAAAAGATGTAGGTGGTTTAAAGATCTACATGTTCAAAAAATTATGAAAATTTTAGAATACAAAATATATATTTTTAAATCTTGAAGTGGTTATGGCCTCCTTTCATGGGGCACAGACTAAGAAGCCTTAAGAATCAGATAGATTTGACCTTTAAAAATAATCTATTGTGACAAAAATACCCTAAATAGAATTAAAGTCAGGAAACAAGATAATATTTGCAACATAACTATAAAGTTTTCATATCCATGTTATATACATCAGTAAGGGAAATACAATCCAGTAGAAAATTGAGCACATTTCCAAAACAGAAATTCATATCAAAAGTTGTTCATACTCACAAAGCATTAGGTAAGTGCATGTAAGACCAGTAAGATAATACTAGGAATGTTCTAAGTCCTGGAGCATACTAAGAGTGAAAAGGAATGTTACAATGAATCCGCATTCACACCTGATCTATTTCTTTATAAGTCTGTACTTTCATCTATCAAATTTGTTTAAAGTAAGATAAACCACTAGTGAAGACGTCTAATTAATTCGTCAAGTCAATTAAGAAGACTGCCAGGCAGTTTTGGGGGGGTTATTAGTACATGAGTTTAAACTTTTATATGTAAATCGAAATTTTCTTTGTACGGCTGTCTTTCCCACACCTGTAGCTCAGAAATAATATCGCCTATTTTAAATTTGCCTGGTATGTTGAATCATTTCAAATAACCAAATATATACTGTAAATATATACTGTATGTGCATTTATTGTTCTACTTAGAGATTAAAATGGCTTCCCGAGGAAAGACAGAGACAAGCAAACTAAAGCAGAATTTAGAAGAGCAGCTGGACAGGCTGATGCAGCAATTACAAGATCTGGAGGAATGCAGGTAACAGCACAAGTGGACGCTGCTGTGCTGTAAAGTGGCTTCTCTGCAGCTAGATTACAAACTCTGTGGGCTCAGGCACTGCGTGGTGTTGGCTTCCCCTGTAGTGTTCTTCACAGCACTTTATCTTTTGGGAAAATAAACTCAGTACAGCCTTTGGGGTTGTCAGGCTGGGATGTGAAAGTCATTTAATTACAAAGTGAGTGAGAACTTGGACAAAACACTTAGCCCCCTTAAGTTTCCATTTCCTCATATGTAAACTGGAAGTAGTAACACCTACTTTGTCTTCAGTATTTAAAATTGCCCTGCTTGGTATCAAGCTGTGAAGGTACTACTTGAACTTCTGATGTGTTTTCAGCCTTAACCACTTAAAGGACACAGACTATTCAACTTTAGTAAATATTACAAATGAAGAGGCCACCAAAATGCTTGGCTCAGAGCAGGTGCTTGGAAAATGGTCGCTGTTGTTATTTGTAGTAGATGTTTAATAAATGCTTTGTTTGACTGGCGAATAAAAATAGCCTCTGACTCCCATGGCAAGGACTACATTGCTGTTGTATTTCAAGGTGCACAAAATTCTACCTACTTTTAATGATAATGATAACAGCTATTTAGCTGGTACCCGTCATATGCCAAGCACTTTCCATATTTCATTAAATGCCACTAGCAACCCTATAAGGAGGGTACTATCATTACCTTCAGTTTATAGAAAAAAGAAACTGAAGCTTGGCTATACTTAGCATCCTGCCCGAGACTACAGCACTGGTTTATAGACCGCTGAAGCGGAAGTTATCATGTGGTTTAAGTGTGCCTCATTTTGACAAAAGAAAAATGTTTAATTATCAGAGTAACCACATTGCAGAAAAATGCCCACATTTTTAATATCTGAATATATCTGTCATTAGCATTTTGATATTTGCTTTTAGCCTTTTTCCCCAAGATATTTTTTTCTAAATAGGTGTAATGTTTAAAGTCTTAGCATACAACTACTAACATTGCTGTTTTCACTTGGAACCCTGTATTTTCCTGTATTATATTCACTGTACTTCAGAGAGGAGCTTGATACAGATGAATATGAAGAAACCAAAAAGGAAACTCTGGAGCAACTAAGTGAATTTAATGATTCGCTGAAGAAAATTATGTCTGGAAATATGACTTTGGTAGATGAACTAAGTGGAATGCAGCTGGTAAGCATAATTTACTTACATTGGTGACACAGGTTGTTATTATTGTTGTTATTATTATTTTGGTAAGTATATGTAAGATAGAAAATGCACCCTTTTTGGAGGGTTTAACTTCCAGATGAGTGTCTATTTGTGGATAAAACAGCATGTGTTTCCAGATCTTTATTTAGTTATATATTTGACTCCAGTGACATGCACAGAAACAGCAAATGGAAACTACAGTTGCAACAGTATTTGATGGACAAAGAAGACCTAATAGTAGTTGAAGACCCACCAGTTCCATTACTGCAGTATCCAATTCATCCGAATATTGCGGTTAGTTTTTACCTCCTTGTATTTCTAGGCTATCCAGGCAGCCATCAGCCAGGCCTTTAAAACTCCAGAGGTCATCAGGTTGTTTGCAAAAAAGCAACCAGGTCAGCTTCGAACAAGGTTAGCGGAGGTAAGGTTTCTTTAAATTGATCCAATTGCTATGTGTATTTTTTTCCTTAGCCCAAGAATTTGCTCATTATGTTATTCTGGAGTTTAAAAATTGGTCAGCTGAGAGTGAACAGCACCAAGAGTAAACCCTAATGTAAACTGTGGACTTTAGGTGATTAGGATGCGTCAGTGTAGGTTCATCTGCTACATCAAATGTGCCACTGGTGGGGGACGGTCATAACGAAGGGGCGATGCGTGAGTGGGGGCGAGGCGTGAGTGGGGGCGAGGCGTGAGTGGGGGCGAGGCGTGAGTGGGGGCGAGGTATGTATGGGAAATCCCAGTACCTTTCACTCGATTTACTGTGAACCTAAGACTGCTGTAAAAAATAGTCTATTTTTTAAAAATTTGGGTAAAAATTGAGACAACTGTAATTGAATAAACATGATTTATAAATTAAAAAAATAAAAATAAAAGTATTTTCAAGTAAAAAAATAAAATAAAAAATTGGTCAAAATTAGTCCTTTGAGCAATTATTGTTGATAGTGAATATAGAAGGTTAAGCAGCAAATGGTAGTTTAAATTGCTGATGACCACTTCTACTGAATTCCACCTGTGAGATTTATTATTTACTTCTGAAGTCCTGAGTTGAAATCCCACCTAGAATTCATTAGCAGCATTACTTTATGCGTGTATGGCCTTTCTCACCTAAGAATTTCAAATGTCTCTATAAACCTGACACTTGAAAAAGTCTGCTTATAGACTTGACTGCAATTAGGGCATTGCTAGTTATTCACAACCACTGGTCACTCAGCAGGATAGGGCTTAAGAGCATGGACCCGGGTCAGACTGGCAGGATTTGTCTTCCTGCTCCACATGGAGGTTATATGATCTTGGAGAAGTTATTTTGATCAATCTCTTTGTGCCTCAATTTCCCCACCTGTAAAAAGGTGATAATGATTGTTTCTACCTCTAATGGTGGTTATGAGGATTAAATGAAGGAATGTGTGCTCTGCATATAATATGGAATATAGGTAAAAAACAAGAATAGTACCAATGCACAGTTTATGCTATCAGCATTTCTGCTGGTAAAGGTAATATTTAACCCCAGTTCCAGGAGATCTGATGCCAGTTACCCTGTTCAAGCCCATAGACCACTCTTGAGTTTAATGAAATGAGTTCTTAAAGGATGGCTCCTCTCTAAAGGAAGCTATTGACTTACTAATGCTTAATCCCAAAACTCTACTGAATAGAGTTCATACCTAAGACAATGGTTATGATTAGTATTAAGATTTATTAGAACTGTGCAGTAGCATTTCTATTATGTTTGCCTTGAATTGTTTCTATAGTTCCTTATAATAATCAGCTAGAGAATCTTCTTTTTTTAAAGAAGTAGATTTGAAAAGCTGGGTTTTGTGCATGGAATATTTTTAACTTAAATACCGTATGCTTTGTGTTCATCCATTTTAGATGGATAGAGATCTCATGGTCGGAAAGCTGGAAAGGGACCTGTACACGCAGCAGAAAGTGGAGATACTAACGGCTCTCAGGAAACTTGGAGAGAAGGTACCCACATTTAATTTAATAATAGGGTTTTTTTTTAAGATTGTATTTCTTTATTTTTAGAGACAGGGGAAGGGAGGACAGAAAGAGAGGGAGAGAAACATCAGTGTGTGGTTGCCTCTTACATGCCCCCAACCCGGGTTCTGGCCTGCAACCCAGGCATGTGCTCTGACTGGGAATCAAACTGGTGACTCTTTGGTTTGCAGGCCAGCACTCAATCCACCGAGCCACAGCAGCCAGGACAAATTTAATGTAATACAGTATTAGGCATAAAGAAAAAGTATAGTCCTGGCCGGTGTGGCTTGGTGGATTGAGTGCCATCCTGAGAACCGAAAGGTCACTGGTTCGATTCCCACTCAGGGCACATGCCTGAGTGGCAGGCCAGGTCCCCAGTTAGGGGTGTGCAAGAGGCAACCAATTGATGTTTCTTTCCCTCTCTTTTCTCTCTCCCTTCCCCTCTCTCTAAAAATAATTATTTTTTTAAAAGAGAAGACAAAGTTTAAAGTATTTGGTACAGAACTTTTTGATCTGTGATCTAGTTTGTGGTCCTGAGACCTTCTTAACAGTGGTTCCTAGAACTGCTTGTTAAGATTGGCACCCACTCCACTGGGCTTTGTTTTGTTTTGTTTAGCTGACTGCAGATGATGAGGCCTTCTTGTCAGCAAATGCTGGTGCTATACTCAGCCAGTTTGAGAGAGTCTCTACAGACCTTGGTGAGTATCCTCATGGTTCTGAAACTTGGGTGTGAGAGGCTGTCCAGGGGCAGATGGCATGAGCGAGATAACATGATGGCCTTTTCTTGAGTTTAGAGGTAAAACCAGAACTGTGTTCTTTATAAATCCCTTTTATTGAGTTTATTTCCCAAAATTTTATAATTAAAAAATTAATATGGCCTTATGTTTTTAAAATATTTGTCATCTAAATGTAAATATAAAAATAAACTAAACTTTTACGTAATTTGTTTCATACCTGAAGCTAGAGTAAGCATTTGTAATGAGTAAGACCATCTGTAGCTGAGCTGCTTGGGGGAAGGAAATTGGGGCAGCAATGGGAGCTTAGGGGTAATGCACTAGGAATAGAAGCCAGTTTGATTGTCTGCTTCAATATGTATGTGGTACATTTTTGCCTCTTTACCTGGAACTGTAAATGCATTTGAAATGACCTTTTTGTTTATGTGTCTTTCTCCTTAGGCTCTGGAGACAAAGTTCTTGCTTTGGCAAGTTTTGAGGTTGAAAAAACAAAAAAATGACACGGTGTGGAAGCTTGGGACAGTGATCACATTCTTGTTGTAAATGGCATTTTTCTTCTGGGAATTTTGAGTCATTGCAAAGAAATCAAGAGAGTCTTGAAGTTCATTAATAATCTAAGGAAACGTGACAGGAAAATATACCTGTGGCTTCTATTTATGCCCTCACCATTGTGCTCTGTGAAGGGCCATCTCCTTGCGCAATCCTGGACTCGGTGGGATGGAGGGGTCACTAGACCTTATTCACTATGATTTATCTGTTCAAGAGAGAGAATAGAAAATAGTTTCTCTGACTGTTGTCATTAAGGCTCCTTGTTTTTAGGTGCTGATAGAAATGAAAAGAGGTAAACTAGTGATTCCTTTCTGTTCATAATTTATCCCCATTTGTTGGAATGAATAGTGTAGCAACATTAACAGACCTCATAGGTGTTCATAGAATTTTAGAGGCCTAAGTGATCTTAGAAATCATTTTCATTGTTCAAACAAGGAAACTGAGACACTGCAAGAGCAAGTGACTTGCTTAAAGTCACATCAGAGAGTTGGGGACGGGACTTGGTGTTCAGACTCTTCAAACTCTCAGTTTAGTGTCCATTGAATTTTATTTTTTTTCTATGCTGTTCTTTAAAAATAATTAACACGCATTTGTGCAAGTCCATGTTTATAAAAATTCAATGTCCCGACAGAAAGTTGTCACTAAGAGACCATTCCCTAGCCCATAAACTCTCCTGATGAATGGGGCCTATTGTGTCTGAGTTGGAGCTCGGAACAATGGGAGCCCTGTTGAGAGTCTCCTGAGGTAACTTAACCTCCTGTGCTGTTTCACCAGGGAAGCAATTGGACGTGGCAGCTAGAGGCCCTCCCTGTGTGTGACCTCTTTGCTGAAACCCGTTGGGTGGTGAATTAGTGTTTACCAGTCAGTTTTTTGGAGGAACAGAGAATAAGTTCCGAGGAAAAGCACATTTCTCTCCTGAGCGTTTACATCTTGCTCTCTGCTCAGATATATGGATTTCCCCACGTGCGTAATGTTAGCTTCTTTCCTGGGCCCTGGCTACTTTATACTCCTTCATGTGTTTCTCAGTGTTCTTTTCTTCTCACTTTATACAAATTAAAGACATTTGTAAAGCGTCATGTATACTGTAAACTCAACTAGGTGCTCTCTCAACTGGACAGATTGGGAAACTCAGCTATATTAATGCCTTATTTGGAAATTTTAATGGATAATTTTTTTATATATTGATTTCTGATGGTCAAAAACTCATTGAAATTGTGACAAACCAAGAAAAAGCAAATTACCTGCTCCAGGGCTTTATAGTCAATCACTAGTTCATCATTCTGTATTTTTGTTTTAATGGAGGTAAAATTCACGTAACGTAAAATGAAACATTTCAAAGTGTACAATTCAGTGGCACTTAGTACATTCACAGTGTTGTACAATCATCACACTATTTAGTTGCAAAACATTTTCATCACCCCCAAGCGAGATCCCACACCTATCCAGCAGGCACTCCCCATTCCCTCCCTACAGCCACCGCTAGTTTACTTTCTATCTCTATGGAATTACCTATGCTGGATGTTTCATATAAAGAGTCGTACAGTGTGTGACCTTCTATGTCTGGCTGCTTCCAATTAATATTTTCGAGGTTAATCCATATTATAGCATGTATCGGTACTTCATTCCTTTCAATGGGTGAAAATATTCCCTTGCTTGGATAACACATTGTGTTTTTCCACTTAGGCTTTGATGAACATTTGAGTTTTTTCCACTGTTTGGCTATTGTGTATAATGCTCCTATTAACATTTGTGTATAAGTGTTTGGTTAAGTACCTGTTTTCAGTTCTTTTGGATATGTATCTAGGAATGGAATTGCTATGTTTATTGTTACTGATCGAAGCCATAGCAAGCTTTCCCCTTCCCCTCCAGTACTGGGATGAGGAAAATTACTAATATTTTGTATTTGAAAGGGGCCTATATGAACCTGGAATCCTTAATTTAGGTTTCCCTTAAACTTTCTATAAGACCAACATCAGTGAAATATATTGTCATTAATCACATTAATGTATTCATTTAGTAAGTGCTGACTAGTACTCAATTTAATCTTCCTTTAAAAGAGGTCAAGTTTGCAGTGCCTAGCGAGATACTGCCAATCATGGCCACGTGACCTTTGATAGGTTACTTTATCTTTTTGAACCTCATTTTTTCTTCTGTTCAAAGGGGACAATAGGACCCCACATAGGATTACTGTGCATTCCCCTCTCTTCTTTAGTACAGAAATAAATTTTGCATTGGCACTAATCCACCATTTAACCCTTTCAGGGGCAATATGATATATTTTATTTCACAAATTTGGTATTCAAAATAATTTGAAAATTATATATAGCTATAGTTATAAAATGACTTGCAAACTGTGTTTCCTGTTCATATTTTGCTATATTTAATCTTCTAGTTTTTTAGACCTCTTGGGAGGTCTCAGAGCGCAATAACTAATGCTGAGGCAGCTAACTTTTTACATCCTTGGGTCAAGCTAATATTTTAATGAAAAGAGTTCTTGCATTTTTTTCAAAGAACTGGAGTTGAAGCAAAAGTCAATTCCAATGATCAAGTGTCCAACTGGGCTGTTTAATGAAATCTAATAATTTAAAACAATTTTTGTTTCAGTGTTTTGTTTTATCCTGTGAGTGGTCAGATAAGTATTCTAGGTGGGTGGCAGAGGAAGAAACCAAGAAATAGAATGAGTTGTTCCCAGGAAGGAGTTGGAGTTTGGACAGATGGATTTTTAACTTTGATTGTTGGGTTTTTTTATTGAAGACACTCAGCCAAAGAATAGTCATCTTCAGCCAAAAAAAAAAAAAAAAGACTGTGGACCCACCGTTGTTGCGGTATCTTATTACAGTCAATGGCTAGTTTGAAATTATTACAGAAAAAAACAAACCCAGACCATTTTGCCTAGAGCTTTTGAGCCACCTTCCTGTCCATTTTTTCCTTATTATATTCATTATTAAGACCAAAGAATGCTCTTCTTTGCCTCTGAAAATGTTTTCCAGCATTAATATGTAAATTAAAACTGTCAGCATTCCCACAGACCCCTTGAACGAGCTGTAATTGCTTCCAGTCTGTCTGGCCCTGGAATTAAAAGATTTAGAAAACGGGTTAACTAGCATTTAATAATTTCATTGAGTTGCAAAAACACAGGTTAAAAATATGGCTGTGCTAGATATTCCCCTAGAATGTGGCCTTCTGGCGCCCTCACTCACTCCCATTTTGAAATCTCTCTCCATCCACCCTAACAGCTGCGTGGAAAGACCGCGGGGCAGAAAGGGCCTCCGACACAAGGGGTCAGCAACGCTCTTGGGAGTTGCCCTGGAGCATCCTGTGCTGCCGGGGGGGGGGGGGGATGGAGTGCAAAGGTTTGAGGCTGTCGGTCACTTCCTGATGCTTATCTTCTGAGATAATCACATTCCCTGCAGCCTGGGACGGAGGGCCACAATTAAAAATAACTAGTAGAAAGTTATTTTCTATAAAGGAGGTCAAGGAGAGCCACCAATTTTGAGTTAGAAAAGAGGAAGGTAGGGCTGGTAAGGGTTCTTTGTAAGATTTATGCAGGAGCCACACAGCCTCTGCCCCCAACTTCTGGCAACTGTGACTGAATTTTTGAGGCCTTCCCACAAGAACCTCTGATTTTATGTCATAGTCATAATTTCAGTACATGGATTAAGAGCTTAAATTATCTTAATTATGTCTGTTTATACTAAAATGTCTTAGTAGGTGGGGTACTTTTTTGTTGTTATTGCTCAATTGTCATATTGCATGGGGGTGTTATTTCCTGTAAGAGGAGATGAATGTTTTTTTGGCTTGTGTGTAAATCTGGTTCATTTAGGCCTGGTATTATTCCTCCAACACTTACAAACCAAGCCAGGTTGAAAACTGAAACAACTATCCTCAGTGATAATCAAAAAGATGGGTAATTTAGACAAACGCAAATATTTGGCCTGGATTAGATTATAATTGCCTTCACCTTGATTTGATCATGACCTTAGAAAATGTGGTGCTTTTACTACTTCTTAAAAAAAAAAAAAAGATAACTTCGCATCTCCAGTTTTCTGTACATCAAGTTTATTCCAGGTCTTGGTAAATTGTACCTTAGGTTTAGTTTATAAAGCTCTGAGCATATACTCATATCAATATTTTGTTTCATATTCACTCACGAAAGGAGCATTTGTACATTTGAAGCAAACAAGCAAACCCTCAGCCCCTTAGCTTCAGCCTTGCGGCATTTCTTTTCATTCTGCCAGAAGTATGAGTGGCTCGTGAAAGGCTGTGTTTTTTGACAAAGCCTTTAAGTAAAACTATTGCAAAACAAAAACAAGCACAAAATTTGTTTAAAAAGCATGCGTGGTTTTGTCCTCTGCATGAAAATAATCATGCACAAGGTTCCATACAAAGGGGCACATATAGGCATACCCAAAGCCACTTTGCTTCCTTAGAAAGGAAACTGCGGGCTTGGAGGAGGAACGAGAAGCAGGAACGAGAAGCGTGCGGGTGCGCTCCCTCCCGTGCGTGTCTCCCCGGGAACTCTGACTGGACCAGGTGCCCGTCGCTCCGGTAGGCACTCATGACCCCCCACAGTGCTACTCTTAACCAGAGTGGGAGGTCGATTGTGCCAGGCCAATTTTGTTTCAGTCAAAGCACTGGACAAGATTGTGTACACTAGGCCCTTTCAGTTTGAAAAACTCAAAATGTACTTTTCCCTGGTAGGGATTATATCTTGAGAAGAAAATGTGTTTTAGAAAAATTTTAATGACAGTGTGGGAGCAGGGAAAGTTTCTATCTGCTACCTCTTCTGATAACACCATTTAGTCCTTCATCAGACATTTACTAAAGTGCTGATATATTCCAGATACATTACTTGGCTTTTTTTGTTAGATTTTCTAAAATGGATATTGGATGGAATCCTTTTCTTTATGACTCTAGATTATTTATATAATAATAGAAGTTTAGACACCCAGCTGCATCACCAGAGGTTTATCTTACAATGATAAAATTGTGTTTTAAATAGACAACAATAAAAAAAAAGATACCTGTAACTCTATCTTAATTGGCTGGGTTCTTAGAAACATTTCAGATGTATGTCTATATATCATAAGGAATATTGTGCTTGGACATAATCCTGACCTATACAATTTGGTCTAAGTGATCCCTCTCAACTATAATTTTATCTCATCTTTTAACCAATCTTGTAAACTGTATATATCTCATTAAAATATTTGCGTTATTAAGTTGTTTTGGGACTATTAAATGAATAGTTGGAATACTATTGTAGGGGAGGAAAGATATCTTTCCTCTACCTCTTATGTTCTTGGCTGAGACTCCTATAGCAAAGGACAGATTAATAAGAGAAAAGCATACAAATTTATTTAATATGCATTTTACGTGCCATAAGGAAATGAAGACCCAGAGAAACAATTAAACCTGAGTGTTTTTATGGTAGCTGCGATGAAGAGCAGGAAGTCATGGAAAGATGTGCTAAGACAAAGGCAAGCTAAAGGTTGTCACAGAGGACAATTGGCAACATCTGTTTGTTCAGATTCTGTGTCCCTCGCCTTCAGGAGGTGCGGCTGCTCCTTTCCTCTGGGCATTGGGAAGGCGCCTCTCCTGAGGGTTTTATCACCTGTGTCAGCGGAGCCTCGGAAGTCCTTACACCTGCCATTTCTCAAATGCTTTCCTGTTAAAGTGCCAAGTGCCAGATTTTGGGATAGCATGTCCTGAACCCCATCATTCCCTTTTTAGTTCTTATTCTGTCACTCTTATACTTAATTTTTATCCCATTTTGTCAAGTCACCTTCCAAATATTCATGAAGATATTTTGTGAGGAATGGTTATTAACTGTATAAATTACTTTGAAACTACAGTATGAGGAACTGTATAAAAGCTGTGTCATACCACTTTATTGAAATTACAGTCGTAAAATACACATTTTAAGAATACTCAGTAAAATGGAGACATGTTTAGTTCAACTAAAGGAAGCTTGTGTTCATAATCTAGATATTTGAAGTAATGGGAAATAAAGATCATACAATAAAAATAACGGGAGATAAGGCCCACGATTTTGTTACTCCGTCTTTTCCTTTCTTGGAGGTGAGATGAATTACTTTTTCTGTTATATTTTTCTCAATGATGTAAGTTGTGCTAAAAAGATCTTCTAATAACCCAAGATTTTCTAATGAAAGAATGTTACTGGGTGTGTGGGAATCCGTTACTGTGGTAGCCTGTCTCAGCAGGGCGTTGTGAGCAGCAGAAATGGAGGGCAAATTAGAACTGGCTCCTTTATCTTTTCCAGGCCCTTAAGCCCCTTTAGCATGTCTCTGAAAAGAAATTAAGTGGGAATTGCCTGCCCAAAGTTGTTTTGAGAAGTCACAAGTGTCACCTATATGCTTTCCTAAGGACTCCATCCTCTTCTCTGTAAGCTGTCTTCTGCTCTTTCCTAAGAAAGCTTTTCTACTTATTGGTGAAATAAGTGTCCCCTTTTTTTCCTGTCTGTATTTAGCCACCAATTAGTAAGATGAGCAGAAACGCTGCCATGCTGAGCGCAGGGCTAGGGGCATGAAAGAGGCCCAGGCTGCATGTTGCCGGCTATAGAAGTGCCTTCTTTTCTTCCAGGAGAGGTCCTCAATAGGTTAGCCTACCCCCTGGAGCCATAGCTATTTCGGTCCAAGCGCTCATTAAAGTCAATCTGAGATATTGCTGAAGCCTTTGGATTCTTTGAGTGAATTGCCTCCACTTGAATTCAGCTAAAAATAGTTCACTTTTACTCCCCACAGGGCTGTTCCCAAATTACGTGAACTCTCCCCTCAGCCTCCCACCTGACCAAAAGTATCGATGTCCGCAGCAAGACTAGCTTCTTAATAAAGACCCAGGACTGTCGCTGTGAATGCCTGCCCAACAGCAAGAAGGGAGGGGAAAGGGGAACCCCCATTAAAGCTGAGCCTGAGAATGTGAGAAAAGGAATCAGGACTTCAGGGAGAGGAAAAAAGTTTTTCTATTCCCCTCAAATAATAAATTATTTTTTAAAAGAAAAGAATAATTACAAATATGTCTAAAAACTGATGAGAGTACAGAGCAGTGTGCCGGACCCATCCAAATAAAGTAAGTACCTACTGTGCCTTTCCATTTGGAAAACATTGTAGAATCAGGTAGCCTTGGAGCCGGGGGCGGGGGGTGGGGGGCGGGGGGGGGGGGCGGGGAGGACGGGAGGGTGAGCATTTCTGGGCAAGCTGGAGCCAGCCCTGACAAGAGGAAGCTCTTCTCATGTTTACTTAGGCATAAGTGCCAAAAGGGATCGATTCGTTTCTCAAAACTTGTACAACCATTTACCATTACAGCATGTGCTGCTGATCGCCTGCAAAGCACCCAGAGACTGCATCCACAGACACAGGTTCAGTGGACGAACTGGGGCCAAGGACCCTAAGCTGTTCTCTAAATGGTTAATGTAATCCTAGGCTGGTAATATTACACTGGTTTTACATCTCATCCATTAAAGGCTTTGGGAAATTTTAAGCTTTTGTTCGGGAGCTAAAGCAGGGTGGCTTAGGATAAGGGAAGCAATAGACTCCACCATTTATTTTGCTTCCATTAGAATGGAAAATGCCTTAATCATGACTGCTTTGATATATTTGAGTGTTACTCAACACATATTTATTCATACCTCCCTCCCTTGGGGTGGAATATGCTTTCTTGTCCTGCTGTCTCTGGACCCGACCATGGAACTGGATTTGATCAAGGAACTGTTTATGGATGTGACCCCTGGAGAATCCTCCATGTGCTTCCACAGTTGGGCTTGGTGCTCTTGCACTTCTGCCGTTTATCGTGAGAGGAATATGCCCTGGTAGCATCTGTTCGAAGACAGTGAGAGGACATGTGGAGCCGACTTACTCCCAATCTTCAGCTAAACCCTGGTGATGCCAGCCCAGCCCAGCAGTCATGGCCAGCCCGGAGGCTGAGGCAGACCAGTGTTAGTGCACAGCAGCCTGAGCAAAGACATGCTTGTGTAAACCCCTGCGTCTTGAGGCGGTTCATAATGCAGCAGCAGCCGCCTCGTACACCATTCTTGTCCCATTTTAGTCCGTTCTCCATGCTGAAGCTGTGATCGTCTATTTAAATACAAATCCAACCGTGTCGCCTCCTTCTTTAAACCTTTCAATAGTTCTCTTTACTTTTGGAATAAAGGCCTATGAAGTCCTCTGTGGTCCGGGCCTGGCCTCTGCCAGCCTCACTGGGGCCTTGTCCCCGTCACTCTGCGCGCCGGCCACCTGGCCTTCTCGCTCAGCTGTTTGCTGTCACCATGTTCTCTTTTCTCCTCATGGTCTTGTTGTGGTCCCACCGTGTATTGTCCTTCCCACTCTTCTCTAGGTAACTTCTACTTACACCTCAAGTGTAAGCTTAAATGTTACTTTTCCATAGACGCTCTCCTTGATGCAAGGTTTGATTCCCGATTATGCGGTCTCACAGCCCATTGTATTTCAGCTTTTAGCTCTTAATTATAGTTCTAATGAATTATTGGTGTCTGACTTATCCTCCATGAGGACAAGGATAGTGTATGTCTAATTTTGCTTTATCCCTTGCCTAGCACAGCGACATGCATCTGGGAAGTACTAAAATATTTTTTGAATGAGTGATTGACTAAAGAGACTATGCTGAACAAAAGCCATGGGATACATAATAGGTCACAGGTGATGCTGATGAAGACCTGAATTAGTTCGATTAAAAAGGCCTGTAAGAACTTAGTGTAAGGTATTGTGACTGTTGGGACACAATCAGAAAAAGACAATTGCGGGACTTGGGTCAAGATGGCAGTGTAGGTAAGCACGGCTTCCCTCCTCACACAACTACATCAAAATTACAACTAAATTGTAGAACAGCCATCACTCAGAACCGTCAGACATTGAGTTGAATAGAAGTCTGACGACTACGGAATTAAAGAAACCACACCCATCCAGACGGGTAGGAGGGGCACAGATGCAGAACGGGCTGGTCCCATACCCACGTGTGGTTGATAAAAACTCGGGAGGGATATCTCGGGAACAAGGAGTCCCAGCCCCTCACCAGGCTCCCCTAGCCCAGCGTTCCAGCACCAGGAAGATAAGTGCTCATAACTTCTGGCTGCAAAACTCAGCAGGGACTGAGTCGGTGGAAGAAACTGCTGGATTCTCACACAGTTCCCCTTAAAGAACCAATACAGACTTTCTCTGACTCACTCCGTCTGAGCTCCAGCACTGGGGTAGCAGCTTAAAAGGTACCAAAGGGAGAAACTGAAGTGTCTGGCATCAAGGTGAGAGCTGAGA